TTTCATGGTTTCCTCCTTTCTGTTGAAATTGTCCACATGCTTGTGTATTTCAATGGCTTCTCTGTGTAGTATGACATGGTGGTTGTTAAAGTGGTCCAGCATTTTTGTGTTTTCAAATAATATGCTGTGTCCAGGTTGGTTCATCAGGTGCTCTGCTCTGGCTGACTTCTCTGGTTGAAGTAGTCTGCAGTGCCTTTCATGTTCCTTGATGCGTGTCTGGGCATTGCTGTGTTTGGTGGTCCCTATGTAGACTTGTCCACAGCTGCATGGTATACGGTAGACTCCTGCAGAAGTGAGAGGATCCCTCTTGTCCTTTGCTGAACGTAGCATTTGTTGGATTTTCTTGGTGGGTCTGTAAGTGGTTTGTATGTTGTGTTTCCTCATCAGCTTCCCTATGTGGTCAGTGGTTCCCTTGATGTATGGCAAGAACACTTTTCCTCTGGTTGGATCTTTGTCTTTACTCTCATGGCTTGTTCTTGGTCTTGCAGCTCTTCTGAATTAGATAAGATCCTCAAATGTGAAGATGTGTTGCATTTCTTCAATTCTTCAAAACATAATGTTCCCCACAGACATGTCTGAAAACAGGGTGAGATAGATATGTTGTGCTACTGAAATTAGTGTACATCTTATAATTGATGGGTTTTTAGAATGAAAGAAAGACAGCTGGTGTATGTGTATATTCATATACCAAAATCAGAATCACCCATGCCATATTATTTCTGATTTCTGAGATTATAATTGTAGTTTTCTTAATCTAGAATGTTGCAGGAATGGATTCTTGAATACTGGGATGTGCTAGAGGGGCACTCAAATGCCTTTTGGCTGGACTTTTCCCCCTATAGGATTGAAGCAAAAGAGATGGAAACCATCACTGAAGAAGGTGAAATGCCCAGCAAAGAAAAGGACCAGTCAGAGAAAGAGAACAGCAAAAAAGGTTGATTTTTAAAAATTTGTGTAATCTGTTTTATCATTGCTTAGACTAGTGTTTCTCAACCTGGGTGTCGGGCCCCTTGGGGGGTGGGTGCCAAAGACCATAAGAAAACACTATGTGGGAAGTTTGGCACAATTCTATCGTTGGTGGGGTTCAGAATGCTCTTTGATTGTAGGTGAACTATACATCCCAACAACTATGACTCCCAAATGTCAAGGTCTATATTTCTCAAACTCCACCAGCGTTCACATTTGGGCATATTGAATATTTGTGCCAAGTTTGGTCCAGATCCAAAATTGTTTGAGTCCACAGTTCTCTCTGGATTTAGGTGAACTACAACTCCAAAACTCAAGGTCGATGCCCACCAAACCCTTCCAGCATTTTCTGTTGGTCCTGGGAGATCTGTGTGCCAAGTGTGGTTCAATTTCATCGTTGGTGGAGTTCAGAATGCTGTTTGATTGTAGGTGAACTATAAATCCCAAATCACAAATCAGGTATTGTGCCAAATTTGGTCCAGTGAATGAAAATACATTCTGCATATTGGATATTTATATTATGATTCACAACAATAGCAAAAATTACAGTTATGAAGTAGCAATGAAAATAATTTTGTGGTTGGGTATCACCACAACATGAGGAACTGTATTAAGGGTTGCGGCATTAGGAAGGTTGAGAAGCACAGGCCGAGATTGAGGGAAACGAGTATACCAGCTGTTTTTCTGGGATGCTTCCCAGGTTGTCTTGGAAACTGGTGTCATAGAAGTTAAAAACGTGATTCCAAGTAGAGATATAAACATTTTGGAGTCATGGGGAAAAGTGTCCCACCCTGTCCATATTTATTTTTATGCAAATATGAGAGTAGGAAGAGGTTATTACATGCAGTATATATCATATGTAAATTTGCTTTACTCCTTCCTAAACAGAAGATATATTATGCATTAAGATATAAAATGGCACAATTTGGTATACAAACAGCGCTTAGAATCTCACCACTTGAGGTGAAGGTAACTTGTCTAAGTTGTGTCTCATAAATACAATACTGCAGCGCTTCTCAACCTTCCTAATGCAGCGACCCCTTAATCCAGTTGCTCCAGTTGTGTTGACCCCCCAACCATAACATTATTTTTGTTGCTACTTCCTAACTGCAGTTTTGCAACTGTTATGAATCGGAATGTAATATGCCCAAATGTGAATAGTGGTGGAGTTTGGAGTTTAGAGAAAACAGACCTTGGCATTTAGGAGTTGTAGTTGCTGGGATTTATAGTTCACCTACAATGAAAGAGCATTCTGAACTCCACCAACGATGGAGTTGAAGCAAACTTGGCACACAGAACTCCCATGACCAACAGAAAATACTGGAGAGGTTTGCTGGGCATTGACCTTGTGTTTTGGAGTTATAGTTCACCTACATCCAGAGAGCACTGTGCACTCAAAAAATGACAGATCTGGACAAAACTTGGCACGAATATTCAATATGCCCAAATGTGAACACTGGTGGAATTTGGGGGGGGGGGGGG